AACTTAATCATCTTTATGTTGTAGAGTTGCGTTCGTATTCCTAATTCAATTCCCACATAAACGTCACAAAGATTCGCATCGGAGAATTCTCATTTAGTCATCATATTTATGTGACTGATAGCTGTGTTATTCATCATTACATTTTGTTTTAACCAATGAGCTTCATGTACTTCCAAGTAACATGCAATAGGCGAGTTAGTCGATACAAATTTTTAGATTTTTTGCTGTTGAGGTTGAAATTATTTTGCTCAGTTATAGATTCTTTAATTGTATGGGTTATTATGAACACTGTATTTAATTTAGATACAAAGACAGCGATCAAAATTTCGGAGGCGGAAATCATGGAACAGATGCCACCAGAGGTACAAGTTCAAACAGCACGTCGTGCTGCTGTCGTCCGACGAGAAGGGACCAACACAGCGAGAGAATTTCAATTTATGAATCGCAGCAACGATCATAATGATGATAATAACAATAAAAATGGCAATCTAGCCCGAGGATGTGCGTTGATGACGCGTGTTGTTGATAAGATATTCCCACCAGAACCTGGTCATGAGACTGTACCGCCTTGCGGAGCTCAGTAGTGAATTCGAAGAGACAAAATCAAACGAGTAAAACTAATCGGAAGCATTATTGATGCATGATAATTGTAAGTGAATGAAATTAATTAAGTGAGCGCCAATGAGTTCTTCAAATGTAATTGAGTCGTTCCATTAAAACATTGATTGCATCTTGTTGGAAACGTTCTTCTGCATTGCACTTAACTCGCAATTATCAGTGATTATCTTTGTATGCAGAATTGTGAACCGAACAGAGTGGTACAATTTGCGATATATCTGTGCTATAATCTTCACATGTACACCCGTCAATTACCAATATCACTGGTTTTCTTGACTAAAGTTGTGATATAATAAGGTGACACGTTTAAATTATCAACTTCCGATAGGAAAAACGAATTCAATGAATTCTTGAACGGAATGGTACGGTTAAAATCAACAAAATGGTGATTGTGAAATTTTTCCGACCGATTGTCGGCCGGACGCCATCACCGGTTTGAAGTAGCCACAAGTATCTTTTAAATTCTTTAATATATTGCATGTGATCGTCTCTCATGAGCAGTAGGAATTGACTGACGAGTTATTTGGTGCAAGAAGATCGACTATTACAGAATTCATGCGCTGTTATTATTATTATTCGGCTGCATTGAAGTTTTTTATTTACTGCATACAGTGGGATTTTTGGTTCATAAATGAATATTTTGAAAGAAGTGACTGCTCATAAGCACATGGTTCGTGATAAATGTGTATTTCGTTGTGATGGATGTGTTTTGGGACTCTAAGTTGCAAATATCTGCTTTTATAGTTATGAATGAGTTACTTAGGCTTATTGTTGTTTTCAACCACCTTCTCAGGTTGTATTCGTCGAAATAGTAACTCATGTAGCAGGAGGATAGGAGGCATAGTAACGATCTGGCCTGAAAGGCCACCGAAGGGATTAATGGAGCTTTCGTGCGTGAGAACCGTTGTTGTAGATAGCATCGTTCTTCATGAGAACCACTGCGCTAGATAGTATCTTACGTACTTCGTTCTTCAGGGCATGCAAACTAAACATGCATGTCTTCTTTGATCTGTTTTGATCTCTGTCTAACGTAATATCCCACCATCTGAATCTCTTTGATTTTTTTAAAATATGCTGAATAATATTATTTTGATAATTTTAGTTCGATTATGTACACTTTATTCACTAAATTGAATTGGTAAATGCAAAAGAGAAATAAATGTCTTTGATATTTTGCAGTGAAGGACTTAACTTAACATTTATGTTAATGTATGTTCATCGAATAATTTCGGCAGAAAATGATGCGATCGAGAATTTAAATTATTGGGTTAACGTTTGAGTTGAAACGTTCAACCCCAAATAGTTAAAGTGTTGAACGTTTCAAGCACTGAATTTATTAATGGGAGCAAATTTTCGAGGTTGTCGATCACTCTCACAACAACGATAAACTTTGTAGAATTTGAATGATTATGGATCTAACTGGCTCATGTAGTGATCAGTAGT